ACAAGTGGGACGTGTCCCCGGGGCTAAGCGAGGAGCTGTAGGTGGAGAGGAAGGACAGGCCACCATGGGAGCACCCTCGAACCAACTGTGGCTCCAGCCACTGCTCACTGGTGGCCAACTGCACCTGGAGCAACTTCCTGCACCAAGCCCCGCCACTGCACCTGGGACAGCTTCCTGCCTGCTCTCAGGGGACTCCGGGGTTCCAGAACAGGCCCAGGGGCAAGAGACACCAGGGTGGGGCCCACTGGATGGTTGGATGAAAATCTCCTGAGTGAAGGCTGGGCACTCACACCTGCCTCTGAGTGTCTCTTTCAGCTGCCAGTCTGAAACCCGGGGGCGGGGGCAACGCTCTGGTCCTGCCAGCTGGTGTCCTGGCCAGTGCCCTTCTAGAAACCTTCTTGGACAGCACAAGGCAGACCACTAGCTGCAGCAGCAGCAAGGTCCCCCCAGAGGAAGGAGAGGATGCTGCGGTTCATTTCGTTGATCTGCATGTCCCCTTCCTTTGGAACACTCAGGCCAGTGGAGGCCAGAGACTCTTCCCTACCCTCACGTGGGTCCCTTGCTCCAACCAGCCCAGGCAGGCAGGTGCAGGGTAACAATTCCCCCACTGGCCCCTCCTCCCGTCTCATTCTTCCGGTCCCAGCTCAGCCCATCTACCACGAAGGCAGAGAGTGCCACTTCTTCCTATCCAGGCCCCAGGCAAGGGCAGGCACTCCCTGGCTCCTGTATACCTCAGACACCTCCAGCGGCTCCTGCCATGGACAGGTGGTACCTGGGTGAGTCTCCCAAACCTGTCTCTACCCCTGCCCTCTCCAACTTGGATTCAGGGGACTACCAATCACTTTCAAACACACCTGCTGGCTCCTCACAACTGTGGGAGAAGCAGTAATGGAAGAGGCTGTCCTAATAAGGTAGGACACCTCAGTGTTGAGTCCTGGGCCTGCTGTGATGTTCAAGGCACCTCTGAACCAGAGGCTGGGGAATCAGTTCTTCATCAGCCTCCTCCTCCAGCTGTGTGTCTATCCATCTGACTTCAGACTGCTGAGTCACATCTTAGTCCCCGTTTGCTCTCTGGCAAGTTAAAAAAACAAACAAACAAAAAAACAAAAAAACAAAAAAACGGGACGATGCTAGCCCTGTCCTTTCCTACTGAATCATTAGGTGGTGGAGGGGTTACTTTCCCAGTGCCTGGGACAGAAAAGTAGTTGTCATTCTGCTTTCCTGTGGCTTTGCCTACCTGTCTACCCACCTGTCTGCCCATCCATCCATCCATCCATCCATCCATCCATCCATCCATCCATCCATCCATCCATCCATCCATCCTTCTTTCTATCTGTCATATGTCTTTCTAACTTGCTACCGATTTTTCATCTCTTACTCTAGAGAGAACTCGTAGGGGCTTACAAAGGCCGTCACCAAGGGCTGGGGGTGCCGCTGAACTGCGTGAAGAACGGTCCCAGCTCCGCCAGCCATCTTAGGACCTGGGTATTCCAGTTCTGGCTCTCCCTTTCTGTGTTCCAGGCTTCCCCTTTCCTTGATCTCAGTTTTTTTCTGGTCTCTGGAGGGCTATGGCACTAAGCTCCCCTAGAAATGGTTGGGGGAAGCAAATGTTCAGCCTTAGTTTCTTCATCTGTCAAATGGGGCTACTAGAGATTTAAATGGGGGTCTGTGAGAACCGAGAGCCTCACATGTGGGTGCAGCCTCTCACAGGGCAGGGCTGCTGTCTATGCTCATGAGCGCGTGTCACTGGGCTCTGAAAGCTCGGGAGAGCTGCGTGAGTGCACTCAAGCTGCACAGCCAGGGCCGTCTCTCTCTCCTCTCCTCTACTTAGCAGAGAGTGTGTGGCTTTCCGACGGTACCATTAAACGAGGCTGATGTCTGTCACTTTTTAAGCGATGCAGAAACGCGGTACCCACTGTCCCAGGCTATATTCTGATAAGCCTGACTCAGTCCCCACAAATTTCCCTGAGTCCTGTGCCCTGCCCACTGTATAGACAAAGGGATAGAGGCGTGGAGAGGCAAACACATTGCCAGAGGTCAAAGGACCAGCAAGTGGTGGAGCCAGGGTGTGAGCACAGCTATCGGTCCCCTGGCATCGGTTGAGGGGGACTCACAGATGGAGCCCCTCCCTTCAGAAGGACTGAACTGCACCAGGGGACTAGATATCATTTATCTATCTGTCTGTCTGTCTATCCATCTATCTTTTATCCACCTAGCTATCATCTCTCCATCAATCTATGGTCTATCTATCCATCTATCACCTATGTAGCCTGTATGAATGCACATATGTATATATGTATGTAAGTATGTATGTATGTATGTATCAGCTATTTATGTATCTATCATCTATGTATCTATCTATATATCATCTGCCAGTGATGGACATTAGTCTGTTGAAGGCCAATTCTACTGTCTAGAACCCCCAAAAGACTGTATAGTACTCACAGAAAACCCACACCATAGTTCCCAAGGGGACAGTCACGGTGAAGTGGCGGGGGGGGGGGCAGCCTGGTAAGGATGGGCAAAGCTTCTGTGCCCTGAGCAGCCATCAGTCCCAACTCTCACTGGCTGTGTGACCCTGGGTAAGGCCCCTAACTTCTCTGTGCTTCAGATAGCTCATGTCAAGTAGGGAGGTAACCCAAAAGGGAGAAAGCCAGCTAGAAAATGCTCCATAAGCCAGAAGAACAAGCGTGGGCCTCTTCCTGAAAGTCTTAAGTGCATGGTGGACAGCCACACTACGAGGGAGTGCCGGGCATTAGGGTAAGACGTGAGCCAGGGATGCATTTCAGACTGAGATGTGAGTGGCTGAATGCGGCCTTAGGATCAGGACAAACAAAAGGAGTCAGGACTGGCTGTTAGGGACAACAGTGCCACAGAGGCTCAACCTGCCGTGGACCCCAAGGTTCAGAGGACTTTGGTGAGAGGGGGAGGCAAGCCAGGCTCCTTAGGGACCCCTCAGGGAAACATGAGTGCCCATGGGAATGTTAGCTGCCATGGTGCTATCCACAGGGGCTGGCAGGGAGCTCTGAGGGCTGAGGGACTCCGACCTGACAGAGTACCCCCCCCATCCCCCCCCCCCCCGCGGGCCATTCACAATGAGTGCATCTTGAAACTTCCACTTCCTCAGCCCAGCTGCGGCTTCCCCAGCTGATGGAAGAATACTGTTGCTGCCCATCCGGGCCTTGCTCTCTGGAAATTTCCTTTGGGAGGGGCTGGAGGCTGCAGCCAGCCCCTCCCTGCCTCTGGCTCCCCCCAACGCCTCCCCCTGGCCTGGCTCAGCAGGAGCCCCTCTGAGCACACTCAGCTTTTCTTGTGACCAGGGTAAATATTACCTGACACTGTTAATATTTAATGCCCCCCACCTCTGCCCTGGCCACCCCACGGCAGACACGATCCCTGAAGTAGAGGCTGTAGGAAGACTGTGGAGGAGCCCTGGTGGCCGGGGAAATGACGGCTGGTGATGGTGAGTGCAGTGCCCGCCTGATAGTTCTCTGAACTGCTGAATAACCAATGGCCAGCCAGGAGAAAGGGGGGGGGGGGGGGGCTGGCAGGACTGCCTGGGGGGCAGCTGAACCCCCTTCCCTTCTGGGACTGCCTGGGGGGCATCTGAACCCCCTTCCCCTCTGGGACTGCCTGGGTGGCATCTGAACCCCCTTTTCCCCTCTGGGACTGCCTGGGGGGCATCTGAACCCCCTTTTCCCCTCTGGGACTGCCTGGGGGGCATCTGAACCCCCTTTCCCCCCTCCTGCTCCCTTGCCTCTGGGTTTCCAGCCAGTGGCTCTCTAAGAAAATTAGCAATCAGAAGGGCCCCAACTCCTCCACCCCGACAGAAAAGAAGCAAAATAGTAGAAGTCAGAGCAGCAGAAGTGTGTGTGTGTGTGTGTGTGTGTGTGTGTGTGTGTGCTTGCTTGTGTATGTGTTCCTGTGTGACTTTGTTTTTGAGACAGAATCTTGTTCTGTAGCCCAGGTTGGCCCTGAACTCACCGTATAGTTCAGAATAACCTAAAATCCACTGCCATCCTCCTGCCTCAGCCTCCCACCCCCTGCCCAGTGGGACTTTCTAATATGGGTTGGAGAACTAAGGCCCACAAAGCGGGCAGAGGCTGCCTGGGTTGGGAATGGGAAGAGCAGTCCCGGCCAGCCTTCCCCAGCTGGCTTGGGGTCACAAGAAGAGCCCTGAGTTTTGGGATCCACAGACTCAGGCTTGGGGCCCAATAGGGACCCTGCTGACCCTCATATCTTCAGGGTTCTGACCCAGAGCGCTGGTGGGGGAGGGGCCCATCAAAGGGTTTTGAAGGGGAGTCCTGCCTGGCTTGGGTGTGGCTGAGGCTGGCACTAGCTCCCCACATGACCTTGACTAGGACTGAAGCTGGGGAGACTCACTGCTCAGCAGCCGAGCCTGGGTCCCTGAGGCTTCCCCTCAGATTCTGGCCCAAGGTCTGTGAGGCACTGGCCACCGGAAACAGCTGGGCTCACCAGGCCCTGAGGTTAACCACGACAGGGGGCACAGTTCAAAGTTGCCTGGGAATCGCTAACTTGTTCACCCCTTTAGAAAGGGCCTCAGCCCCCTAGGGCCAAGAGGGTCTCCAGCAGGACAGCAAAGGGTGCGGCTGGCGTGGAGGGGTGGGGTGGCCGCAGCTCTGCTGGCCGGTGCCACCAGCCATCCGAGGGCAAGTGCTCTGAGCTCAGGGGGCGAAGAGCGGAATATTTGCTTCCACCAGGATGAAGGGGGCCACAGGAGGCAGGGCCGGGGCCATACAGCATGTGGATAACTCTTCCTACCTGTCACTTGAGACTCAGAGTGACCCTTTGCCTGGGTTCAAATCCCAGCTCTGCCCCTTACCTGCTGTGCGGCTTACTTACGGTCTCTGTGCTTCGATCTCGGGTGGGTTAGAGGGGGCTAACACAGTGCCCCACCGGTGGTCTGAGCCGCTCCTGCATTCACTTGGGCCTGGAGTGCCCAGACACTGAGTGCATATTCCTCATCCTTGTTAGTTTACCCTGAGGGCCAGGACACAGGAGAGCAGAATCCAGGATGAGTCAAGCAAGCCCCGATTCTGCCTTCGATTTCCAGGGTCTTTACAAAATCTCCAGCGGCCCGTGGTTCCCTCCTCCTGTTCCCGGAGCACCAAGGCTGTGTTTTACTCCTTCCTTTATTTCCTAGATACTGCTCCTCCTTGAGAAAGTGGAATTATGTAGTAGAGGCCACTAAGGAGCCTCCCGGGAACCCGGCCCTTTGGCCTGTCCTTGCGATATACAGCAGGGAGCTGGGGAGGACCACACCCTCCTGGGATTGTGAGCGTATCACCCCCCTTCCTGGTCCAGCCCACCCAGATCTCCACTTCAGATGCCCCGAATCTGATCCCAGGATGTCCACGTGATGTAACCTTGGGGTGGATGTCCAGTCCACTCTTCACCAACTTTCCCCAGCCCATCTGGGCCCTTGGGGATCCTTTGAGAAGTCCGGCGTTCCCACGGCTCTGGGGTCCTGATATCTTGCTCATCCCACCCCCGGCTCTCTCCTCAGGTGGCAGCGGCAAGGGGGCAGAGGATCCATTCCACTATGGTAAGAAAAGTCCTCCCCTGCCCACCCCATCAGCTGGCTCCCAGCCCTTGTGCCCGGCTATCTGCTCTCAACACCAAGGGGGGGGGGCTGCTGGTGGGTGGACTTGGGAGGTCTGCAGGGGCTGTGCTTACACCACCGCGCATGTCTCCTCCCTTCCAAGACTACGAGACTGTCCGCAAAGGGGGCCTGATCTTCGCGGGCCTGGCCTTCGTCGTGGGGCTCCTCATCATCCTCAGTAAGTGGAGACTGGGGGGGCACTTCCCGAAGTCATACAGTAAGGGCACTTACCAGTTCCCAACCCACACCCCACCAGCCAGAGGAGGAATTTAGGAAGTGTGGGCAAGGGGGACAGACAGCAGGCTCCCGCTTCCTTCAGGGTGCCCCCTAGCGGCCTTGGAAGGGGAAACGGAGAGGGGAGTCTGGCTGGGCAGCAACTGGGGCTGGGGAGACCAAGGGAGCAGGCAGGGCGGATCCTAAGCGGATCGGGACATCGCCTGAGGTGGCCACACCCTAGCCACCCTGGCCATTAGGTGGTCTCAGCGCACTGAGGGGCAGTACCCATGCCCGACTGTCAGCGTTTGGGATGGACAGTGAGACTCACGGGGAGAGACGTGTGGCAGCTCCCCTCCCTGGGTGGGTCTGACATCCACCCTTCCCCGCATTGCTGGAAACTAGCAGGGCTGGGATCCCGGCCCTGGGGCCTACACCTGACTTATCCCAACTCTGGGATGGAGGAGGCTCCATTTCCCCTGTTCAGCGGGGACAATCTCCATCAGTCTTACAAGATTTGAACTAGCATCCTAAGACAGCTGTAGGGGTGAGGAGGTTCCATTAGGAAGGAGCCGGGGTAGCCATGGAGGGTTTCAGGGGGAGGACAATGTCCTCAGATGTCTTCCGGCGCTGGCAGGCACAACAGCAGGTGCTCACTAAATGCTCGTTGCCACCAAAAGAAAAATACCAGAATCACAAACAGGAAGGCGCTCGGTGAAGCCAACAGGCTTCTGTGTTCTGGATTCCCCCATGCTCTGGTTCCTGCCACTCCCCCCTGAAAGCTGGGCTCCTGGATCTGTCTTGGAGGGGAAGGGGGCGGGGCGTTTCTCAGAAGTTATGAGCCTAAGCAGGGATTTGAACTTTGGATTTGGCCTGTCCTCCTTCAAGTGTGTACCAAGCAGCTGCCCTGTTGTACCCAACACTGTGCTGGGTGGCAGGCGTGAACTCTGGTCCCAGCTGCCCCTTTCCACATGTTCACGGTCCCCCACAGAGCCGGTGCGGTGAATGGTTGCTGATTGACCCATTGCTTGGTGGTCCAGCCCTATATAAACAGAGAAACAGTTAAACATTAGACTCCGAGCCCCACTGGAGGAGGCGGGGGGCGGGGAGCAAGCCTGGCAGAACGTTGGAAAATGGCAACAGGGTCTCCTTGGAAAATGGCAGCAAACCTTACTGTGTCTTTCCTAGGCAAACGATTCCGCTGTGGGGGCAGCAAGAGACACAGGTGAGTGGTATGGGGGAACTGGCAAGGTGGGCGGGGCAGGGAGGAGGGCAGGAAGCTGTGCCTAATGAGGAGGAGGGCATCCACAGTCTGGGGGACCCCAGGCTTCCCCTCCCTGTGCCTTCACCCTCTCTTCATTCTTCCCCATCCCAGGCAGGTCAACGAAGATGAGCTGTGACCGTGGGTACGTTCCCTTCAAGGGGCATGAGGGCTTGGGTAGAGAATGCCTGTGAGCAAGAGAGAGCGAGCAGAGAGAAATCTGGGGGGACGGGGTGGGGCTGTCCCCATTAAAGTGAGGACTGAGGTCTGAAGTGGGATGTGTGGAGTAGGGAGGCTGCAGAGGGGTCCCTGGGGATGGTAAGAGGAACAGGGACAAAAGTCCCAGCCCCAGAGGCCTCCTTCCCAGCTCAACCCCTGCCTTTGTCTTTCCAGAGCCGCCAGTGCCCACCGGTGCATGGGTACCACGGATGCCTGTCTTCCCCAGCTGTACGCCGCTGTTCCATCAGTCAGCACTCAGGCTGAAGGGTGTGCCAGGCTCACTATGACCCCCTTCATGGCCATCCACTCATACCTCTTGATTCTTAATTTCCTTCCTCCCCTCCCCAACTCCTCTGACAACCCCACTTCCTGTTCCAAGTTGGGGTACATGTGTAGCCTCATCTCACTGGTTTCCAATGAATCATTCTAGCAAGTACCTGCCAATGAAAGCAGACTTGGTGTGGTCATCTCTGGGCCCCCTCATCATTCACCCCTGAATAGTTGGGGACAGAGACCTCTGCCTGACTTCTGGGTGCTCTGCAGAAATCTGAGGGTGTCAAGTTGAAGGTGACTGGGTCTGTTGGGTCGTGCTGGCTGCTGCTGCTGTTGAAGCCTGGGTGCTTCCATGGGGAAATTGCTTCTTGGGTGCTCTTGGCCACCTAAGAGGTAGCTGTCTGTGGCCACATTCACGGGTTTTCCCAAGGTGCACTGCTGTCCAGGGTGGGTGGGTCTGAAAAGCCTGGTGCTGGGCCTCAGCTCATGCTCCTGGCACACCCGTCAAACCACCCTCCTTGGGTGGGTGGTGCCCAAGGAATTCCAACTGGACCTGGTCCTTCCCATCTATTTGGGTGTTGGCTTGCTTCACCCCTGGGCCGAGAGTGAACAGTGAGAGTGAGTCCATGGTTACTGCTTCCTTCAGCCCTGTCCATCCGGGCAGAGACCTACAAAGGGGTCCATCTCCCTCTCCCTCCATTCACGTGAAATCTCCAAGGAGACTGGAGGGCTGGCAGGATGCTGGTACCATCTGGTGCCTGGCTTCCTTATCTGCATCTCAGAGTATCTGAGCAGAACCCTGGGCGACAGCATTTGAAAGGAACAGACTGTGTTTGGGTGGACCATACAGTCAGGGTGGACAGGCCATTTCACTTGGTACTTAAGCCTTCTGTCCTAACCCTTTGCCCCTAGGCTCTGAAGCCCACCTACCCACCTGCCCACTCATCCCTAGGTAATTGAAGACAGTCCTTAGAGACCATTCCAGTGTATGGGAGGGGACGCTAAGCACCCCTCCCCCACAAGAAAGGCAGTGACTTGTCTACACAGGGTGACATTCTGACTGCCTTTTTCTGTGAGAGCTAAGAGATAGAGAAGCCTGGGGTGGAAGGCCGGGAGCCAGCTGAGACCGGTAGTCAACTAGGTAAAGTCTGGTTACTAGGGTCCGTATCACGCCAATCACGCCACTGACAAAATGTGACCCCCACCATTAAGTAAAACTTGGTTATGCTGTGCTTGAGTTCCCTCTAGAGGGTGGGAGGAATGAGCAGAGGTCGAGCAGATCTGGCCAGGGTTAGGACTGGGGAGGAGCTAAACTCTTCAAGGTTTCTGCATGCAGGGCCAAGGCAGAGATATTCAAGGTCTGTGGTTCAATACCAAAAAGTAGGAACCCTGGAAAGACGCCACATTTCTAGAATGTTCTATTCACCATCCCATCACTTAAATAGTCTTGGGTGGGCCACTTCTTCTCCCTCAGCCTCCCACCAGTCTCCTGCTCTGTTCTCTAAGTGACCAGACCGGCACACTGGAGGTGGGCCTTGGGGACTTTGCCTGACCTAGGCCTAATCGTATGTCATCCTTGAGCAGGAAGGGCTGAGCACAGGCATGAGATTAGCTGGCAAGCCTGCCTTCCTGTCCCCATGCCCTCTGGGGCCCTCACTCAGGCTGAGGCTCGGTGAGCCTGCCCAGGGCTGAGGACCACAGCTCTAGGGGACATTCTGATTCTGTGACCTGCTTCTGGGCCAGGACAGTTCCCTTCACTCTCCTGGAAATTCACACACTGAGAGTTACTGAACTTGCCCTTCACTCTGAAGAGCTGTACTGAATTACAGAATATAAACCGAGTCTTGAAAGTGACCCTGGCCTCAGGGATACATAGCTTAGAGACCTAGAGGCCTTGGGGTGCAATTCCTCCTTCTACCACCAGAGGGAGCACACGACCTACTCAGAGTCACATAAAATTGCAGTTCCTGAATCGCCGGCCTGCGCCTGATTTCCTGAGAAAGCTCTGGACTCCTTTTCATGAAGCCTCAGACCGCTCAGCTTGAATTATCATCATAATCCTATCCCCATTTCCATTTGCCCTCTTCCAAACTCACTAACACCCGAGTATGGGACACCCAGGGTATGAGCCCATCTTGGGAAAGGTGGTGTGGCTGGGGCCCTGTCCCGTCCGGACTTGGCTTCCCGATCAGAAGCTGGGACCGAGGCTGGTTCATCTGAAGTGTGAGGACTCCTCACACGGGCCTCCAGTTTTTCTAAAAGCTTTGGCAGATTGGGAGATCACCCTCACCTCACCTCAGCAGTTCTGGGCTTCTTGGTTCAGTAAGGAAGAGGGTGACCCAAAAGACTCATTTTGAGTAGGTCTGCTGGTCCTACCCACAGCAGAACGAGGGGCTCCTTGGACAGAGGTGGGTCCAGGGCAAAGGGAGGACTGAGTCTGAGGGACGGAGTGCCCCTGCTGGGGCCGTGAATCACCGCCCTGCAGTGTGCACCCCAGGTGGTCGGGCTCTGAACTGCAGTTGAATGGTGGTAACCCAGCCCTCATCATGAGACCCACTCTTATCAGCGGCGTGACAGATGCCCTACTTGGTGAATGCCAGGGCTGCTCACCTCTGTTGTTCCAGTCTGGAAGATGGATCAGCTTGGGCCTCAGAGTCCAGGACGTAGCAGCCACAGTCAGATGTGTTAGGAGAGCAGCTTCGAGACACGGGCTGCAAGTGAGAGCCGTGGGGCTGTCCACTCAGGTCCCCTTCCAGTCTCAGGAATCCTGGGTTGGGAACACTTTGTACTACTGCAATTGAATAGCTGAGGGACTGGGGGAAAAAATCCTACTCAGAATTTGGAAGCTCAGGGTTTCAGCCAGACACTGGCGGGACAAGGGATGGTAATAGGGAATGGTTAAGGTGGGGAGGTCCCCAGTTGTCATGGGCCTGACATCTGGGAGGCCCAGGGGCCAGCACTGCTCTTCAGGCCCCAGTTGGCAAGTTTATTTCTCGAAGCCTGTTGGGCTGCTTGATGTGACCCCGAGCGTGACCCTCCCATAATTCCACAGTGCTGTCTTTACATCTCTCAACCTGGTTCCCTGTTTTGAGAACTTCCCACTGCTGCTTCTTGGAAGAACCTTATGGGGTTACTGGGAGGAATGCCTGGGTGAGCCAGGCAGGAGGGCGATGGGCGGTGGGAACTCCCCACCCAGCCGGGGCAGCAGCTGGTGGCTCAGAAGGGCTGCTGAAGCCCCGCAGGCTGCAGACCACACGCTGGAAACGGAAACCGGCTTTCCTAGCAGCCTCGTTCCTGAGCTTGCTGTATGACCTTGGAAAGGTCCGTGTCTGGCTCCAGATTTGGCGTTGGGGAGACAAACATTCTAAGTTTTGGTCTAAAAATCAAGGGGTGGTGACTTTGAAGGGGAAGTTGGAGTTGAAACGAATTCTCTTCCGAACCCAGGACAGTGAGTTGTTCTTAACGTGCAGCGGATGCACACAGCCATGTGTACACAGCAGCAGCTTGGTAAGTGAGGGAGGAAGAGGCAGCCACAAAGACACCCAGAGAAGCAGAGGAAGGAGCTAGGCTGGCCCTCTCAGGAGCGTGGTGACTTCTCTCTGTTTGTTCCCCCAGAAAGGCCTGTCAATCAGTAACTGAGTGTACATTTACACAGACCGCCTGGAACTCAGCGTCCTGGCTCTTCAATGAATAACATTTCAGGTCTCCCGTCTGCAAACCAAACATTCACTATGAGGTTAATAAAGTTACTCAGGAGTGGCCTTGAGCCCTCAGACAGCTACCAGGAGACAGAAGCAGGAGTAGGGGGTACGGAATGGGCCTCCGCTGTTCTGGGACCCTTTCTGAGGCCCTGATAATGTATCTTCTTGGATCTGAACATTCCTTCACTCTGGGCCCCAGACGATTAGGTACTCCAGGGTGGGAATAATACCTGGGAGTTCATCCATGCCCCCCTAGTGCCCACCCCAGTTCCAGCAGAAGATATACCCAGTAAAGGCTCATTGAGTGACCACACTGACTGCTTAGAGTAAGAAGAATGAACCAGGAGTGACTTCCCCCTGCCCCTCCCCACAGTGTACAGGGGTGAGGAGGGCTGTTCAGGATGGGGTCTGGGGTAGAGTTAGTGGTGTGTAGGCTCACTGAAGTGGGGGAACCTTTGAGATCTATCCCAGTGACAGCCTTCTTTTCGTCCTCTAAGTACTGGAAACCAGCAAAACTCACGGGACCCCTGGGCCAGTGGCTATGTGGTGGGCGTTATCTCCAAGCTAACACTGGCTTTTCTGGAACCTTCCCACCAATGATTTGGGAAGTTTCTGTCCAGTCCCTTCTTCTCAGGACACCATGTCCAGGGAATGCAAAGTGGCTGTGCCCTAGGAGTCCACCTTCAAGATAACCAAATACCAGAGACAGACTGGAACACCCATACCCCTCCCAGTCCCATATGAGCTGAGGTATAGATGTGGCTGGCTACGTGTGGGGTGTCTTCACCCCTTGGACCCTCTGCTCCCTTACCTGAGGTATCTCAGTTTCTTCCCCTGACAAGGGGGAAGGGTGATCTATGGTCTGTCATACTGAGAACAGGAAGGATGTGAGAAAGGTCTCTGGATTGTATGTTTCCTTTTATGTGAGGAAAGGGGGTGAGTATGATTCTAGTTGTGTTGGAACTGGGGAGAGGTAGAGAAACCCATAGGCAGAGAGCCTGGGCAGGGGGTAGCCTGGCCTAGGCAGAGAGCCTGGGCAGGGGGTAGCCTGGGGTAGCCTGGCCTCAACTAATGCAAGAGCCCGAGCAGTTGTGAAGATATTTCTCTGTCTCCTTCATCAGCTGTTGCAACAATGGTCTCACTGAAGAACTGGAATTTCCTCAGGAATCTCAGGCTGGGAGAAGGAAAAGACTGAGACCATAGTGCCCACCAGAGGGGAGCTGGTCCCCTGGGACGAGATCTCACACGGTTCTGAGGACTCGTCAGAACGCTTTGCAGGAGGAACCTGAGGCAGTGATGGGGCAGGGCGGGCTGGACCACACCTTGACCTGGGCCGCCCAGCTCCGCGTCCCTCTTGCTGTCCATTTAAAACTAAACATCACGTCAGGACCTCCGAGGTGGACCTGGAGGGCCCCTGGCCCCTCTGTTCCTCTTCTCGGTGTCGTCACTTTTCTCTGTGACTTGTTCCTCCTGTTGAGGACAGATGGCCCAGTGTGTCAGGACTGCCAGGTCCCAAGCTGTGACCCTCACAACACTGGAAATGCCATGACAGAAATTAGGTCCCACGTGCCTCAGGAAATGTGCTGGTTAGTTTTTTTGTTTTGTTTGTTTGTTTTTTTGGTCAACTTGACACAAGTTAGAGTTATCCAGGAAGAGGGAACCTCAATTGATAAATTGCTTCCATCATATTGGCTTGTAGGCACGTCCTTGGGAGTGGGGCCACCCCAGGGCTAATGGTCCTGGGTTCAATAAGAAAGCAGACTGAGCAAGCCACGCGAAATAAGCCAGTGAGCAGCACCCCTCCATGGCCTCTGCTTCGGCTCCTGCCTCCAGGGTCCTGCTCTCCTTGAGTACCTGCCTGGACTTCTCTCTAAGATGGGCTGTGACCTGGAAGGGTAAGCCAAACAAACCCTTTTTCTTCCCCAGTTGCCTTTAGTCAGAATGTTTCATCACAGCAACAGCAAGCAAATTACAACCAGGAGCCCCCTCCCCAGCGCTTGGCCCACGTATGGGAAGATAAGGTGCCCAGCCTGGAGGACACTGTGTGTCTTTTCTAAGAAGTCTCACGAGATGGACACAAGCTGGGCTGGGGCAGGCAGGTTGCCGTCTTGCCTGTGAGACGCAACTTGAGGTAGAAGAGATTTCCGCACAGCCTGCAGCTCTGCCATCCTGTCATCGGACACTAGGGGGCGCCACATAACCAGCTTCTCTGTTACAAGGTTCACTGAGGACAGGCGCCATACTGAATCAGAGCAGGGAGAGCAGAGTCCTCTTCAGTGAGCAAACCTCCGCAGAGAACAAGCAGAGTTGGGGGGGATACACTCTGCCCTCCTCCCCACACAACCATCCCTTCAGGGAGGGTGAACGTGACAGTTAACCTTCGGGCCACCTGGAGGGGCTTGCCCTTTCTGCCCTTCACCTACGGAGGCAAAACCCTGATGCCACTGATTCATAGACTCCTGATGTCACCACCCCCATCTGAGCAGATCTAGAAACTTGGCTGTCACTAGACTCGGGGCTTCCCTCCTCCCAGATCCTGCAGGGGCAAAGACCGGACAAGGCTGGAAACAGGTAGTGTGAAGCAGAGCTCAGCCGTCAGCTGGACAGCACTCTGTGCCTCAGTTTCTCATCTGTGACAAAGCCATAGAGTGCTACCAAACAGAAAGGGAATTAGCTGAGGGACAAGCAAAGTTCAGCCCTGGTTTTGTGTGCCGTGCGCTTTGACTGAAGATTTGAACAGCCAGCATGTGCCAGCACTGTACTAGGCCTTTTGAGAAACTGGCATGGAGATTGTCAATAAAAATGCTGATGGGGGCTGGAGAGATGGCTCAGTGGTTAAGAGCACTGGCTGCTCTTCCTGAGAACCCAGATTCAATTCCCAGCAACCACATGGCAGATCGCAACTGTCTGTAACTCCTGTTCCGAGGGATGTTCCTACAAACATACATGCAGGCAAAACACCATTGTACATAAAATACAAATAAATAAATTATTTAAAAAATGCTGATCAGAAACACACAGAGCATCCCCTGGGGCAAATGCCAGCCCAAGCCCCAAGTGTGACTCTTGGGAAGCTGCTTATGTCCAACTTGTAGAAGATGTAAGACACGGGCAGTCTTAGGTCTGTCTCTCCCAATTCATGCAGGTGAGTGTGTGTGTGTGTGTGT